CACACTAAAATCAGTAAAAAAGGTGTCCATTATTACCATTCCTACTCAATATAGTTCTGGAAACATTAGCAAGAACAATAAGAAAAGAAAGACAAATAAATGAATAAGAATGGGAAAGGAAGAAGTTCAGTTATCACTATTTGCAGGTGACATGATTCTACATAGAAAACCCCAAAAACTCCATCAGAGACTATTAGAATTAATGAACAAATTTGGCAGTGTATCTGGGTAAAAGTCAACACTCAAGAATCAATAGCATTGATGTACACAGATGACAAATTGACTGAGAGGTTAATTAAGGAAATAACACTTCAAAATGAAATACTTAGGAATCAACCTAATAAAGGATTGTAAAAGATCTATACATTTGAATGCTATAATAATATTTTAAAAAGGTGATTGAAGAGGATATCAGAAAATGAAAAGATATCCCTTACTCTTGAATAGGAAGAACCTATGTAGTGAAAATGGTCAGACCCCAAAAATTGTTAAACAAATTTAGTGCAATCCCTATCAAAATGCCATTATTACTTCTCACAAATTTAGGGAAAACATTCCTCAAATTTACTTGGAAACAGAAGAATACTGGAATAGTAGAGGCAATCCTAGGCAACAGATGCAAGGCAGAAGGTATTATAACCCTGGACTTGAAATTGTACTACAAACAGACCTGAAGATCAGTGGAACAGAGCACAAGATGCCTATATAACTACAAATACACTCAGCCACCTTATCTTTTACAAAGGGGCCAAACATATTCACTGGAAGAAAAGTAGACTCTTTAATAAATGGTGCTGGAAAAATTTGCTTTCTACATGCCAAAGATTAAAACTAGACCCCTATCTATCACCATGCACTAAAGTGAAGTAAAAATTGGTCAAAGATCTAAATATTAAAATAAAACACTAAATTTCCTGGAAAACATGGTAGGTAGAAATCTTGAAGTGACAGGGGTAAACAAAGAGTTCATGACCAAAATGCACACCACTTGGGAAATGCTTCAAAGAATCAACAACTTGGATCTCACATTATTCAAAAGTTTTTCACTTCAAATAAATCACCAACAGTGTGAAAATAAAACCCACAGCATGGGAAAGAATTTTAGCCACCTGTCTCTCAGACAAAGGACTTGTATCTAGAATGCAAAAAGAATTGAAAAATGGCTGGGGTTTAAAAAAAAAGAATTGAAAAACATCAGCCTCCCAAATTCAAAGACCCATTCCCAAAATGGGCATCTGTGATGAAAATGCACTTCTCAGATGAAGAAATAGAAAGGAGAAATAAACCTGTGAAGAACTATTCAACAACAATGGTCATTTGAGAAATGCAGTTTAGGGAGAACAAAAGGTGGTGGATAGATAACAACAGGCTATAGAGGCTCCCAGAGATAGTCAACTTAGATTTCAAAATAACACAGCATGGGAAGTCCCGAACAGAGTGAGATGAATATTCTCGATCCTGAAAGAAACTAAGATGAGATGAACCAATCAAACATACAGTCCTGGTGCTAGTCATGGGAACAGCTAAAGGCTCAGTGCCCCCGCTGCAGTGCTGGTACTCATGCAGCTTGGCCACAATTTACAGAGCTGTCCAAAATCCCACCACTTGGAACCACTGGAAACATAGTCACACTGAGGTTGTGGGTCTTGCAAGCTGAACAGAGAACTGAGTTGGTGGGGACCCTGGATCAACCTGCAGTGAGTGTCAGGAATAAAACCATTCCACAGAAAAAGGGGCTCCAACAGATGACATTCTGGGGCTGGGCAGACTGGCAAGAACAAGGAGCAGCAGAGACTTCAGTCAGTTGCTACCTTCTCAAGTGGAACTGGTGGGATGGGCATGGCCTGGGTCATGCCCCTGGCCGAGATCCAATAGGTTAGCCCAAACCAATTCCCTACACTCTGCGTACACAAATGCAATGAAGGCCTCAGCAGCTTGACCGACCCGGAGGGAAGGGGCTAGCATACTCTGCCCCTGTTTGCATCTCATAGCAACCTGCAGTGGGCAGGACCATCTAGCCAGCGTGCTTCAGAAGAAGAATTATAACCAACAAAGAAAGAAACTGCAGCCTTCTATATACAATTTTAAGGAAGAAACAAACAATATGAGAAGAGGAAACAACAAGAAAAAGCCCTCAGATCCCAACCCTGAGAACACTAATCGAGGAAAGGTAAAAACAAAGGAGATTGAGGGCAGCAAACACACAATATCAGGCCTGGCACCGGTAGACATACAGAGATATCTCCAGGACCTCATAGATGAGTTCAAAAGTGAAATATTTAACCAAGTAAAGCAAGATATAAATAGATTAATAAGAGAAATGCTAAGCACTTCTCAAGAAGACACAGAAGAATGAACAAAAAAAGGGGAGAATCTTTTTTTTTTGTCTTTTTCGTTTTTATCGGTACCAGGGATCAAACTCACGACCACCTGCTTGCAAGGCAGGCGCTTATGCCGCTGAGCTAAATCCCCAGCCCTGAAAAGGGGAGAATCTTTTGATGAAGAATATAAAGAAAACATAGAGCACATTGAGCAGGTTCAAAGGGATTGTCAGGAAATTAAAAACTCCATTGAAAGCTGGCAAAACTGCATGAAAGAAACTAAGGGTAGATTATCCAAAGTGGAGGACAGGTTTGCAATGTGGGATCATGAAAGGAAAAATTTCTTAAAAATAACAAAGAAACAAGCAGTAACAATACAAAGGCTAGAAAATGACAAGAGGATCCATAACTTAAGAACAAAGAATGTGAATGAAGAAGCAGGGGTACAAACAAAGGAACTACAAAGGCTATTCACAGAAATAATTAAGGAAAACTTCCCAAACATAAGAAAAAGAAATGATATTCAACTGTTTGAGGCATACAGACTTCCAGCCACCTACAACCAAAACAGAACTACACCCATGCATATAATAATCAAGATTCCAGAAATCCAATATGAAACAGAATGTTAAAAGCTGCCAGAGACAAGAACCGATTACTTACAAGGAAACACCATCAGAATTATGGCAGACTTCTCGACCCAACCATCAAATCAAGACGTGCCTGGAGTGAAGTATTTTAAGCCCTGAAAGAAAATAACCTCCATCCCAGATTGAGATACTCTGCTAAACTGTCTCTAGAAATTAATGGAGAAACAAGATGCTTCTAGGACAAAGAGGAACTGGGGGAATTCGCAACCACTAATCCAACTCTACATAGAATACTGCAGGACATTCGAAAGAGAGAGAAAAGTACCAGGATTCCAGGAACAGTGGTAGAGAGGCCTCAATGAATGGAGCAGAAAGGGAAATGAAGAAGACAAACAAACAACCAATTATGGCAAAAGAGCACAACAGAAATGGGGCAGAGAAAATTGGCTATAATCTCTAATATAGGTGGCCTTGATACACTAAATTAAAAAGAGAGAATCACAGACAGAGTAGATTAGGAGGTAGGGTCCACTGAGATGCTCTTTATAGGAAATATAATTAACCTGACCAAAGGTATAAGGACAGAAACTCAAATATGAGAAAACAATGCTCTATGTGACAGGGAGCCAGAGAGTAATAGACAACTAGACTAGTATTTGAGAATAGGTGGGAAAGACAGGCTTTAATAGGTAAAGGAGTACAACTAGAGATCAAGTCCAGGAGGGAGAATGTTGGGAACCACTTAGGTAAATAGCAGATTGCCCCCTCAATTTAAAACTGAGGGTGTTGGTGTGATCCCAAAATGCAAAGTATTCCCTGGGGGAGTGAAAGGGGAGTAATAGTCTTTAAAAAGACAGCAGAAGATATTATTAATAGTGTATCAGGAATCAAAACCCATATTACTAGCACCGCTCTGCTTAGCTAGAACTTATTCTGTCTCATTTTGTCTACAAGCACTAGATCTGAGGGCACAGAAAACCATCCCCAAAGTATCAGGAGATAGCACAGTAATCATCTTTAATTTCTTATTATCTTAATCTGGAGCCCTGTATAACTTATACTGTTACATCATGACAGATCTTAGTTAAATCTGGTTTGTTTGATTGCTGTTTGTTATTGACAGATTTTATTCAAAAGTGTTATAATTGATAATATCAAGTCTGAGAGTGTAGACAACTATACTGAAAATGGTAAGATTCATTACGATACCCATTCTGGTTTGATTACTACCTGTTTTTGCATTTTTACACTATCGTCAAACTTGTGTTTCTATCAATACTGTTATGTACTGATATATTAAATTATACTATATCTGATGATATAGCCAATTCTATTGAAGATAACAAGGAATAACACAGTAACCATGGTAAAACTCCTTGTACAGCGGATTTATATGCCTTTCATTTTATGTATCTATAGGTATATGTTTTGTGTTGTCCTACTTTATTTTGTTTCCCCCTCTAATATAGAAAGGATAAAAATACATGTTAAGACTCATGCATGTATAGAACCTATACACAGTTCATGAGAACTGATCTTATGACACCTGATAAAATGAACAAATACTTTGAAGGAAAAAAGACACTACAGTACCTAGTGCTGATCATGGAGTGTCGTGATGTGAAATCCAGCAATACTATTATTCTTTGTCCAGAGTGATTTTAATCTGCTTTGGTTTGTTTAATCTCAACATAAATGAAGATATGGATAACTGCATATATGTTTAAGTGTATAGGATTGATAACCAAATTATTAAGTTTTTGTTAGATAGTTGAATAGAACTATTTGCAATCTCACTGTTTATTCCCACTTATATGTTCCACTTTTGTATCTTGAACAATTATTTGTAAGAGGACAATATATAAACATCAATTAGTGATTTATTAGTTTTTTTAACTTTTTCTTTGAAAGTATGTATTATATCTATCCATTTACTGTTTTGTTTAGTTTTTATTTAAATAAAAAAAAACAAAAAAAGAGAAATGCAGTTTAAAACAACATTGAGATTCCATCTCACCCCAGAAAGAATGACTGCTATCTAGAAATCCACCTTTAACAAATGTTGGTGGGGCTGTGGGAAAAAGTGAACACTGCTTGACTGTTGGTGGGAGTGCAGATTGGCACAACCACTGTGGAAATCATTGTGAACATTCCTCAAAAAACTAGGCTTGGAGGTCCCATTCAATCCAGCTATTGCCCTTCTAGGTATTTTCCCAGAAGAATTGGAACATCATACCATAAGGATATATGTGCACCTATGTTTATAGCAGCACAATTAAATCTTGGAACAACTCAAGTGGTCATCAACTAAGGAATTGTGAAAAAAGATGTGGTATTTTTATACAATACATATTATTCAGCTATACAGAAGAATGAACTTGAGGCTTTTATGGGTACATGTATGCATCTTGAGACCATACTTGTAAGTGAACTAAATCAAACTCACATGTGTTAATATTGTATTTTCTCCCTAGTGTAAAAATAAAAGTGAAAGAGTAATAAGATCCAAAATGTACAGCTGATATTGTGAAAATGAAAAGGAAAGACAGTGCTCAAAAGGCAAGCACAATTTGGATTGGAGAAAGGAGAAAAGAAGGGAAAAGTATATAGGTATACATGTATGTGCATGTGTGTATGTGTATGTATGCAAGGTGGATAACTCTAATACTAAGTTTTATAAGTTCATCCAAAAGAATTTTTTTTTTTTGGTCTTTTTCGTTTTTATCGGTATCAGGGATTGAACTCACAACTGCCTGCTTGCAAGGCAGGCGCTTATGCCGCTGAGCTAAATCCCCAGCCCCCCAAAAGAAGTTTTTGCTTTCATTGGTTACTTGATCATTTTTTATGTATAAATCTTGTTATCTGAACAATTACTTCTAAGATAACAACATGAAATATATTGACTAGTTTTAATTTCCTACTACTTTTTTGAAATTCTGTAAAATTTCTTTTAAAAATTAAAAAAACTTTAAAAAAATAAAGAAAACGAAGGCTCAGTGTGGTAGTGCACGCCTGTAATCCTAAGACTTGGGAGGTTGAGATGGGAGAGTTGCTGTGAGTTCAGCACCAGCCTGGGTTACATAGTGAGTTCAAGGTCAGCATAAACCATATATTGAGACTCTAAGACAAACAAACAAACAAAACAAAACAAAAACAAAGAAAAAGTAAATGAGAAAACACAGAAGCAATGTAAAGCATGAAGTTTTCCCAAAGCAAGCCCATATATTTATTGTTTTGTTTTTAAAATAAAAAATTAAAACAAATAGTTTTTATTTTGTTTTTTGTGTAGAGTCTTGTAAGTTTTTGTGGTAGGTAGGTTTGTCACTGTATCAGGATCTCTTTTGCAAGGTTTGTTCTTTAAAAAAGTCTTCTGGGTGTAGAAGGTTCTTGGGTTGTGCCTGTCCCAAGATCTTACTTTTCCAATTAATTAAGAGTGAGATGTTGGTATCTGTTTGGATCAGTCCCTAACCAATTCGTTGGTGCTGGGGTGTCGTGAGGGTATTATCCCAGAACTTCTCAGTAATTTTGCAGATTAAACTGATTAAAACAAATATGACATCCTAGTTGAAGTTGTATAATTAGCAATAACCATATTATCAAACATGGTTTAGAAACTGACAAACTTTGATATTTATTAATTTTATACCTTTAACTATAGAAGCAAAATGTATAGTTATATGACAGAGCTGATCATAAATTGGGAGCTTGTATGCAAAGTACTCTTGATTACTCCTTACCCTGTTTCTCCTGGTTGCTGTGTTTTTTTTTTTTTTTTTTTTTTCAGAGACAGGGGGTGTTGCTGGTCCAGTGTGCCTTGCTCAGCTTTCTGGGTTCCTTTTCCACTGGCAAGTCTCTGTTTTCTCAGGTCATTTGATGCAGGGTGGAGTAGGACCCTGTGATGTGCAGGGTGGAGTAGGACCCTGTGATGTGGTCTGATCCTTTGCTACCGCTGTTGCATTCCAAGGTTGTTCAGTCCCAATTCTTATTCCTCTCCCAAGGTGATAACTTCCCAGTTTTTGCTTTATAAGTTCTGCTGCCACCATCACCCGCCTCTGCTGTAGTCTGTAACTTCCTTGGGCAAGATGAGGTAAGGGTGCTGCGGGGTGCCTCTCTGTTCCTGCCCCTGGAAGCATGGGAACAGCCTTGGGCTGCACAGTCCAGAGGTACATGGCTGTTTAATTCTCCATGCTTCTCTAACCACAGTTCACAGCAGAGCATTTAAGTGTGCCATTTACTATACACCCTGTCGTCTTTAATCTTGTTATTGGCAGGTCCAGTTAGGGCTCTGGTACAAGAAGGAAGAGAACAAGAGAAAAAGAAAAAGAAAAGAAATTAAAAGTAAAATTAAAAAGAGATAGAAGTACCAAATCACTTATAGCAAACCTATTTAAAAATATTAAATTCCTCAATAGAAATCCTGAAGGCCAGGATTGCTTACAATAATACATTTGAAGCCCCTAAGGAAACTAATTGGCAATGTGTATTAGATTATTATATCCTGTGAGGCTATTCTTCAAAATTGAAGGAGAAAATAAAAACCTTTCAACATAAAAATAAACTAATTAAATCTGTGACTAATAAGACAGCATCACAGAAAGTAGCTAAGGGAATCTTAAGCATAAAAGAATAGAACTATCACAACCCTGGGAGGAAAGGAAAGAATAAATCCCATTTGGACAGAAGGTAAACTGGTGAAAATCAAGGATGAATCATGGTGTACCCATGATGGATATAGACAACACGACTGACTAGAGGAGTGAGGTAGAGGTACACAGAAATGATTCACTGAAAATGCAGGTACTCTGAAGTGGGGAAGGAACTCATACCATGAAACAGAAAATTAATCAGAAGGATGATACACACAGATCAAAGCAAATATCTGGATCATCAGAAAGAGAATCAGCACCGTAGTGGCTCATCTGCACCACCTCAGCCGCTGTGGCCCCAGGGAGGATCCTTCAAGGGAACATCCCAAATAGCCCGAGGGAATGAAGCCCTGCTGAAGTGAGACTCCAGGGACAACCTCTGCAAATTCTCATCACTACCCCTCCAAACATGAGGACATACTGCATCTGGGAGCGTGCTCACCAGCACCCACCATGAGGAGAGAAACCCCAGCCTCACACACTGGGCAGAGACAAGATGAGCAAATGGTGCCCACAGACTCCTGCCAGTGTGCACCAGGCAAATCCTGCTAACTTCTGCCCTCACACCTCCACTGACTCCTGCAGGTGCATACCCACATCTACCTATTCCTAACATGGCTAGACAAGAAGGGGATTATGTGGACACTCAGACTTTATGGCTTTGCAGTCACAAGGAATTTTATGCACATGCTCCTGTTGGAAGGTTTGATCTGGGTTCTTGCTGGATTTTTTGGTTACTTTTCCTTTTGCTCCCCCACCCCTCTTAGGTTTAGTTTGTGTTCATTTCTTCTCTTCTGCCTATGCTGCTTCTTCTACTCTAGCTTCCATGCAGTACTATTTTCTTATTTTATACTAGTTTCTCCTACTTTTAAAAATTCTATATTTCAAAACTTTCCCCCTATATCATGCTTTCTGTTACTTTTATCTGCTCTCATATTTACCTTTGTCTTCTTTACTGCATTCCTTTTTTCTTCTGTATTCTACCTAGCATACTGCCTTTCCATGTTTTCCTCCACTTTACAGGTGCACAAATATATCATACGTGCATGCCTATATTTATAGCACATGACTCATGATAGCTGTACTACAGAATCAGTGAATATGCGCATCAACAGATGAATAGATAAAGAAAATGTGGCATGCATTCCTTCCAATGTAGTACTACTCACCCATAAAGAAGGATCAGTTTGAATAATTTGTAGGCAAATGTTTGGAGTGCACATGAGACCATAATACTAAGTGAACTAAACCTGACATAGAAGGTTAAATATTTCTTTTTTCTCTAATATGAAAGACTCAAGTATATGAATAATTTAAAAGCAAAATAAAAGACAGATGGTAGGAGAGAAGAAGGTAGATTCTGTGGAGGTGGGAAAGAAATATGGATAAGGAAATAGAGGAGAGGACTGGAGAAAGCAGCAAAAATGTTCAAATGGGGTATATAAATGTATCAAATACAAACCAAGATGTGTGTAAGCATAATTAATTTTTAAAAATACATTTGCTTGATGTTTCTCCTGTTCTTTTAGTTATTCCTTAGGTGAAGTGTGAGAAGAGGCTGAAGAAGTGAGATCAGGCACACTTGTGGGGCTGGAGCAAGGCTGGTCCTGAGTACTCATGAGGCGAACCATGTGAATAAGCTGCTCCAGTCCAGAGAATACCAAGTGCCTGAGGCAATTCAAGTGAGCAGGTGGCTAGGTCACATGACATCAACCAACAGAGTGCATAAATAAATGCACTGCAGTCCTCAAGCAGTTCTTTTCCTCCCATCTGGAAAGAGGGCTTCCCCTGACCTCAGCTTTCTGTATTCTGACTCTTATCTTTATTTCTCTGTCCTCCAACTTTCCTGCCCTGTGAGAACTTCAAAAGCTGCACTGGATGTGGCAGTAAACTTGCCCCTGTGTATAGGAATTCTCTTGGTGCATTCCATTAATATTTTATGCTTTTTTGTTTCATATATCATAACTTCTGGTTTACTTTCTTCTTCATTTCACAGTTGTTGACACATGTGGCTTTAGTTACAATTATTTTCAAATTTCACAGTACATACATATATTAAAATTTCATGAATTGTATTTTACAAATTTCATTTTTTTGCTCTTGAAGGAAATTGTTTTTCAGTTTTTAGCTATTACTGCTATTTTAAGACAGGCCTTGCCTAATTCATTAAGTTCATTAAGGTGGGCCTTGAACTTGCAGTTCTCCTACCTCAGACTTCTAGAATGCTGAGATTATGGGTATGGGTCATTATACCTAGTTCAAACTATGTCTTAAAATTTCCACATGTAAATTTTGCAATTTCTCTACTGTTATTTATTTGTAGTTTCAGTTCATTGTGGCCAGACAAAACATTTTGTGCAGTATACAATGTACAGTGCCTTAGTTTGTGACTATTTGGCCTAGTCTGGCACAAGTTCCTTGTCTAGTAGAGGAGAAAGTACACACTGCTGTTGTCCTAGGCCTTGTCAGTTGCTTGTCAGCTTGAGAAAGGAGAAAGGGGTCCTGCGGCATGGTCCTTCATTCATCCCTGCTGAGTCACTACTGCTGGCACCATGCTGGGTACAGCACTTTGCTAGGGCTATCTGCTTGAGGGCAGATAGTGTAACCACAGATGAAGCCAAGAGGAAGCTATTACAGGCAGCTATGTTAGAAGTATTATAGGCAATCAGACAGGACTAGGTCCTCAAAAGTCAGTGCAAAAGACAGGATATATTACAATTGTGAGGGAGACAGACACCTCCAGGTGAAGGCCAGAACTCAAGCCAAAGATGAAACAAATGTACCCACAGACTTTCCCTAAGAATAAACAACAGCGACTGGTATTCTAAATAGGTATCAATCACCTTGAGAAAGCCAGAGAGAACCACTGACCCACCCTCTCCAAGAAAAGCCCTTTTCTTGTCCCCTTGCTATGTGGCTTGCTCCTCCATTTGAACCCAACTTAATCGAATTCCTTGAGCAATTAGCTCATAATCTTACTGTTAGACCACAGTTTTGTTCCACCTCTTGTCCACCTTGTTATTGCCCATTTTCCTCCACCTTGGCTTTGTCTCACCTTGTGGTTCTGTTCTGTAAAACTCCCTAGAAAAAGAAGGATCCTAAGCAACCCACTTGGGATCCCTTCTGTCTCTCTCTTATACAGAAAGTCTTTCCCCAATAAATATATTTTGTTCTTTTTTTATTTTCAGGAGAAAAAACCCAGAAAAAACAAAAATAAATGAACAACAACAAAAACCTAAAAAAACCTAAATAAACGGAAGAAATATACAAGAAGAAAAAGAAGAAGAAGAACAACAACAACAACAACTTCCACGACCAAAAAACCCTTCAAACGGTAGCAAATATAGGATTTCAAGACAAGATAATAGGAATTTAACAGTGGTTGTTATATTGCATATTGTTATCTTTGGAAGAGTTATTTAGATTACCAGATATACAGATGTTAGCTAAGAATATTGTGTGTGTGTTACATATTTTTTCCCCTTTCCTCCTTTTTTCCTTTCCCAGTTGTTCTTCCCCTTTCAGCAGATTTTTTCCCTTTCACAGTATCTATTTTGCCTTTTGGATCTTACTTACTCATTTGGTTTCTTACACTAGAGATACAATGTGGTGTTTACACATGCAAGTCTGATTTATTTCACTTATGAGTATAGTCTCTAATTGCACTAATTCACCTATAAAAGCCTCAAGTTTATCTTTCTTTGTAACAGATTAGTGCTCTATTATATAAAAATATCACTTTTTAAATTGTTATCTTCAAAACAGCTGTCCCTACTATCAGACATAATAGAATCTAATAAAATATAACAGAATAAAACCAAACCAAACCAAACAATTGAAACAATACGGGACTTAAAAACAAGGTAATAGGAAATTAACAATGGCTACCACCTTCCCTTTTTAGACATTTCCTCCCCTTTCACCTTCACCATATCTATTGTACATTATGGATCCCACTCACTTCTTCAGTTTTTTCTCTGTAATTTTAAAGGGAATAAAACAGAGCAATAAAATAAATTGAAACAGTGATAAGATGGTAGGAAATCTACAAATCTACAATAGTTACTATATTGCATATTGTTGTCCTCTAAATATTCTTCAACTTTAGTCTTGCAAAGTCAATCAAACAATACAGTTTCTCTGAATCAGCTGGCTGCTCACGGGGAAGGGGTTGTTCTCATCTCCCTAGGCTGCATGCCACCCACTTCACAAGCAGGCACTGTGTTCTCCCCAGTCAGTACTTGGAATGGGTCCCAGCAGAGAGTTTAGCTTCCATCTTGGCTCTCCCTGACTCATGCTCCAAATGACTCACAGGCAGGGGCTTAGGTTCCTTTCTTGCTCTCCCTGATCAGTACTCCAAATGGTTCACAGGAAGTGACTTAGCTTCCATTTTCATAATATCACTTCTTTTTTATGTGTTCCTCAGTTGATGGGCATTTAGGTTGTTTCCAAGACCTGGCTATTACAAATTGTGCTGCTACAAACATGGGTGCACATATATTGTATATTCTGCTTTTAATCTTCCTTGTTCTTAGAATTTATTCTTCTATTTTAGAGAACATGAATTCATATCAGACATCTAGGAGGTTGGGAGCTTCTCTTCTAGGCTGTTTCAGGCCCTTGTCTGTTTGGGAAAGGGGAAATCGACCCTGAGATGATGTCCTGCATTCATCCCAGCTGAGTCACTGCTGTTGGCACCAAACTGAGGGCATCAGTCTGCTAGGGCTTCCTATTTGAGTATAGATTCTATAGCTGTGATAGCTCGAATCCTGGAATAAAATCCAAGGAAGCAAGAAATTAAGAAATTTGGAGCAAAGGCTTTATTTTAGGCCAGGCCTGGCAACGCAGCCTCCAGTAGCCAATATGAAAGACTGCACACCTAACAGCTAAAGGGCAGGGTTTTTATCTTGTAAAACCGCAAACAGCTGCTGTTCTTACAATGCAAGGAGTGGGGTGGGTTTGTGGTGTACTACAGAACAGGAACATGATGATTACATTTCTTCGGAAGAGCAAGGTTCAGGTAAGGGTTGGGCTAACAAGCAAGTTTAGATTAGGCAAACACCCTCTGGGGGAAGGCACATCCTGCACAAGCAAGTTACCCTGCAAACAAGCAAGTTTCCCTGCAAACAAGCAAGTTTAGATTAGGAAGACATCCTGTTCTGCTCTTAGAGTTACCTTTGATCTTTTTCTTGCCTCTGAGGAGACTTATGAGGGGTTTTTTATGGATAGGTTATAACATAGCCACAGATGAAGTCAAGAGGAAGGGAAAGTTCCATACGTAACTCTGTTAGTTGTTCCCTTTTCTGTGCAGAAATTTTGAAATTTGGTGTAGCATCCTTTGTTGTTATTATTTCTGGTGCAGTTGGAGTCCTATTCAGGAAGCCCTTCCCTGTGCCTATGAATGCAAGCACCGTTTTCTATTGGGCAGTGTGTCTCCATTTGTGTGAGTACCGTGCTGGTTTTGTTGTTATGCTCTCTACTATTTTTCTGTATTCAATTGTGAGCTTTGCTCTTTCCCTTTGCTTGTTTTAGATTCAGTGTTCTTTAACTTGCAAGTGAAAGGATCATTTTAATTTTTATTTTGTTGAACCACGTGTACAACATTTGAATTCTCACAGTTCTTTCAAAGCAATGAAGAAAATGTCAGCTCAACATAAGTTTATTAGGTAGTGTTTCAAAGGAGTTCTCTTTTATTCATTAGTGGCTAAATTTGCAGCTCAAACATTAACTTTGGGACTTACTTCAAGGTAACTCAATGAGTGTAAGGGACAAATGAACTGATTAAACAAGAAAAAATTTGAAGATTGCTTAAATTGGAGGATAAATACATGAGATTTCATGGGACAATTGTCTAATGTTTAAATGTGGCTGAAGTTTTCAAAATAATTTTATTCTCCTTCACTCTGTAGCTTGAATTTTAAAAAGACATTTCATGATTTCTCATCACTGGACATTATACTGAACAAAATTTTGGAGACATTCAATCCTGGTCATGAATACAAGCTCCCTGTCATTGATTTTGTGATACCCAGGTAAATAAATGCACCTACTGGAGCCCCAGAGACACTGTAAGATAAAGGGCAATATCGATTGATCTCTGCTTTCCAGGGTTAGTGAGAGAAATCTGCAAAATCATGCTGACTAACAGACTAACAACTTCCAAGCCTCTGTTAATCCTGCTTGCCACTTCTTTATCTTCTAAAGTCAACAAGCAAGTTTGGTCTGTTCTCTTTGTTCTCTCCCTTTGTCTGACTTCACTGCAGCCTAATCCACCATTTAGGAACTCACTATGTAATTATTTCGGGTCCTCCACCCTCCAGTTATTAGCCCTGGGAAACTTCTGTCAGACATGCTACAAATCAGCTTGACGCTATTATATGTGGAGCAACCCAGCTGTCTCCTGTCTCTTTCCCAGGTGCCGGTGATGCAATCTGGGAAGAGTGCATGTGGAAGAGTCGCTCAGAGGAGAATTGAAGGATTTTACAAACAGAGCCAAAGGTCACCTTTCTCTTCTCGTTCATATAAAGACACATCATCCCAGCTATTGCCATCTGACTGTCACACTGCCACTATGTAGACCTCAGGGTCCTTCTGGGGGCTTTGCTGGTCAGCCTGAGTATAATGATCTTGATACCTGTTTGCTGGCAGAAGAAACTCTGTGGGAGACTTCGTTGTGGATCCATCCCACCACCCTTTATCAGGAACTATCTGCTACTGAACCCAGAGTCTGTGAATACAGTTATCATGAAGGTGTCACAGGCAGGGGGAATGTATGGAATGGAATGTTAGGCATGGGAGTGCAAGGCTGTATGTTTTTCTGAGGCTTTTTTTGGCATGAGATTAACCATGAGGTCCATGGACTTCTTTGCTTGAGGTAAGGGCAGTTTTGAAGTTTCAGCAGCAAGGACTTAGTCTGGAAAGTTCCAAACTAGAGATATTACTTCTCTTGATTGTCAGAGCACGGGAGAAAATACATTCCTGTTCCTTCCTCCTGAGTACTATGGAATTCAGCTAAAGAGCCTCTACCCTCCTCCTTGAGGTCTGCAGATGTTGTGACCTTGAGTTCACCATCCACCTGGGCACTAGCAGGTCCTAGTTCCAGAGGATATGAGGCAGTGAAGGAGGCTTTTCTGGATCAGGTTGAGGATTTCAGTGGATGAGTTGAACAGGCCACCTTAAACTGACTCTTCGATGAGTATGGTGAGAAAAATACCAAGTGTGGAAATGGGGCCAGGTAGGTTTTATGGGTTGGTTTTTCCTGCCTTCCCTCCTGCCTCACCTGCCCTCTGCTTTCCTTGGATTTATCCATCTCTTAGAAACTCTTGAGATTCCTCTTTCAACATCCTGCTGCTCTAACATTTTTTTTTAACCAACTTCAGTTTCCTTGCTTCCCCATGATTCATTTCTTGCCACGCATTTTCTCCTTCTTCTGTCAGCATCTCATACCATCGGTGCCTCCAAGTCACATTGTCCTCAAACTCAATGTGTCCTCTTTCAATACTCTCTATGATTCTCTTTCCTGTTTTCTGTCTTGGCTTAAAGTCTGTGATAAAGTTTCTGATACTAGGAAGAACCAATTAAATTCAACCGAAAGATTGTATAAACATGTATAAAAACCATATAGTCTTCCTAATGTAAGAAATGGTAAGAGTACACAAGATTTTATGGTAATCATGATTCCCCATTACATTGCTTTGAAGCCTTATAATGTTTTCTTTCATTACTTGAAATGGTTTTATTCTGGTTTGATTTTATTATCTGTGATGGTATGAACAGCTATTTTGAAGAAAACAAGACATTATGATAGCCATTGATGATTTAATATCATCTTGCTTTGAAGTCTTACCATGCTTTTGTTCTTCTGTTTCCACTGGTTCTATCATGTATCTTATTGAATTTTATTATGTGTGATAGTATAAACAAATTTTTTATGGAAAATGAGATAATATAGTAGCCATTATTCATTTTCTGTTATTTGCTTCTGAATGCCCTGTAATACTTTCATTCTCTTGAATGGCTTTATACTATTTTGTTATATTTGTTACTGTTGTATGTGAAGGTATGCTCAACTATTTCAAAGAAAGAGACATTATGACAGCTATTGTTAATATTGGGTTGTCTTGTGGTGAAGTACTGTGTTGCTTACATTGTTCCGTTCTGACCTGCTTTGTTCTTTTTTTGTCTTAATCTCTTAAAATAAAAAAATTTAAAAAAAGATTGTGGGGTTTTTATTATGTCTCAGCATAATGCTTTTTTCTTCAAGTTTATGTCATGTTTATAATTCTGTAGTGCTTACTGGTGTCACATCCTTGAACAGGTTGGTCAAGTAGCAGTGCAAAGCAGGGTCACATGACCAACTTTTTCACTGTTAGATTTGCTCCCTGTTCAATCTAGACACTCACTAGACATCTGGAAACAACTATGACCCTGGCTGACTTAAGTGGTATTCTTACGTGACAGGGCCCTATTTCTTCACAATAATTCTATTTCAAAAACTGTCCTGGACTAGCGCTGTAGGGCCCTGGATTTGAGGATCTAAAAGGGGCATCATTACAGCCTCTTTTTTTTTCTGGGCTGCCAGGAACTCATGAAATGCCCTGTGACCTGTAGATGTGGTTTGGGTTTGGATTCACCACCTGAGATACAATTCTGTCCACTCCTGACCCCAACATTCCTGACTGAACCATACTTTATCTCAGGCTGTTTCACAACTGGTTCTTGTTCATAGGTGTTGACACAGAATTATGCACTTTCTGCTTCAGGTTTTGGTAAGCTGGCTTGATGTCCACACCAGCCAGCCAGTCCTGGCAGAAGCTGCCAAACAGGCACTGGTGCTTGAACTGTTCTGTGTAAGAGCAATGAGCTGTGGAAGCCAGAAGGAAGTGAGGCAGGGTTAATAGCACCACCAGTAGCCCCAGTGCAGCAGGTTACTGTCTCTTCCTAGGCCTGGCCCTCTCCTCTGCTGGTCACCAGAATGGCGATGTCAGCAGAGACTCTGGGTGTGAGTGTGATGGAGGTGGTGGTAGAGGAGAAAGTCTGTCATAACTCTTACATCTACCCTGCAGGTCTCCGGAATCCCACTTCCCCTTGATTCACACTTTCCCTTTTACCTTTCTTCGTTCTTTCCCACTTTTCCAGTGTGTGTTATTGTTTTGTGTATCTGACTTGTCTTTCTATCTCTCTTTTTCAGATTTTTGTTTTCCGACTTGTTCTCTGTCTTCTTGCATGCCATGGACACCTCTCTGAGTTTGAATCTCTCCTAAGTCTTCCTGCTCTCTGTGCTTTCACTCTTACCCTGGAGCCATGTTTCTTCCACTACTTTCCTCTCTGTACAACAGTCCAACTCTCTAAGGCCCCATCAGGGATGGTCTGTGCCTGCCCTCCTCTCTGCATCTCACCACTGCTGCCTTACACTCACCTCCCCAGGTGTCGTGCTCAGCAATGGGAGTGTGCTGAGCATCTCAAGCACATTTTCATCACCGCTCTGTGGGATTTGGCATAGCCAGGAGGAGGTGAGCTTCAATACAGGTGGTAATGTGGGGACCCTAGAGTATGCAATAAAAAAGAAAACATCAATAAAAGGGACTTTCATGTAGTGTCATGGGACTGGGACTTGGGAAAATGTGTCTGTACTCTCAAATCTACAGTTGGTGCTGGACAGTTGGCTCATCCTTAAAAAATCCTCCTTGAATTCCTAGAGTTACATCAGAACACTCAGGGGAATGTCCCCTAGTCCTCTGAATGTTTCCTCTCCTTACCTGCCAGGGATATACATAGATGAGCCAGTTGGGCTGCAATGTCCTTAACTCACTGTCTTTAGGAACTGCTTCAACTATGAGGGCAAAGAGTTTCTGTCACAGTTCACGGCTGCCTCCACCAGACAAGTAGCATCTTCTTCCTGGTACTCCAAATCATTAACATAAGCTGTCAACTGCACATGGCCACCAGTGCAAAACTTCCATCTTCTTTAAGAAAAGATCCCCTCAAAAACAGCTCCCATCTTGGGCAGCTGGAGAGCTGCACTAGATCCTAAGAGAACTGCCCAGTATGTAGTCTTCATTTTTCAACATCCCCAGATCAAAACTGCTGTCATGGTATGTTATCTCTAGTCAGCTGTTTTACCTCCACAGATGTGCCTATAGCACCCCTAATGCTAGTGAATTGAATTCTTTTTGTTTAATTTTTAAATTTTTACATTTTTATTTTAAAAGAGGTAAAATTAAACACAACAAAACAGAACAAAACAAACCAGTGTAAGAGATATAAATTTCAAAGCTAGATGACCTGAGTTCTTCACTGTCTATCATAATGTGTCTTATTTTTTTCCAAATAATTGTCCATGTCTTCACATACAGAGAATTCATTCAAAACAACGTAGTATAAAACTGATCCAAACTGAATAAGGAAGGCAATTTAGGTCTTAAAAACCAGACAATAAGGAAGTCACTAATGGCTGTCATAGTCTCTTGTTCTCTTCAAAGTAGCTATTCATATTTTCTTTTTAAAAATTTTATTTTAAAGAGGGCAAAATAAAACAGAACAAAGCAGATCCTAAGAAAACATTTTTTAAAAACACAGATTTCAAAGCAAGACCATGGAGATCTACACTGTCTATCATATTGTCTTTTGTCTTCCAAATAGTTGTCCATATCTTCACACACAGTTAATACATACTGAACAATATAGTACTAACATGATCAGAACAGGATGACAGAGGCATTTTAGGTCTTTAAGACCAGACAATAGGGAAGTCAGTAACGGGTGTCATAATGTCCCTCGTTGTCTTCTAAATAGCTGTCCATATCTTTATGTATGTTGAAATTAAACAAAAGAAAATAGACTAATATCACTCTGAACAGAGAATAATAGTATTGCTAAATTTTGTATCATAATACTACAGAATTAGCACTGGGTACCTTAGTGTCTCTTCTTTTTCAGAGTATCTATTCATTACATCGTGCATTATATAATCTATTCTCATAAACTGTTTAGAAATTCTACACATGTGTGAATATCTAAATGTATACCTATCCTTTCTGCATTATAGGGAAAAACAGATCAATGCAAGACAACAAAAAAATTCCTAGAAAAACATGAAATGAAAAAGACATATAAAACCACAATACTAGGTGATCTACAGTAGTTACTATGATGTCTCTTGTTATTTTCAATAGAATTGTCTATATCATCAGGCATAATATAACTGAACATAGCACTACATAGCAATATTAATAAAAATACAACATTGGGGACATTGTAGGACTTCAAAAGCAGTTAATAATCAAACCGGAACTGATATCTTATTGCATCTTGTCATCTTCAGAGTAGTTGCCTCTAGTCTTAGACTTGATACTATCAAACATTCCAAATTCGAATAAAATCAGTCAAGACAAAACAGCAATCTAACAAACCAGATTCAAATAAGATCAGTCATAGTAAGACAATGTAAGTAATACAGGGCTTCAATTTAAGTTAATAGGAAATTAAGGATAGTTATCGTAGTATATCCTGCTATTTTTGGGATAGCTGTCTGTGCCCTCAAATCTAGTATGAGTAGACAGACCGGAACAGAATAAAATCAAACTAAACAGTGGTAAGACTAATGTGGCTTTTAAATTCTGATAGACTATTAACAATGTCCTCTGCCTTCCTTTTTTGGACAGTTCTTCCTCTTTCCCTTTCTCAGGGTGCTTTGTACATTTTGGGTCCCACTAAATCCTTTAGTTTTTAGATTAAGGGGGCAACCTGCTATCTACCTAAGTGGTGCTGAACCTTTTTACTCCTGAGTTTGATCTTGAGCTGTATTCTTTTACCTACTAAAGCCTCAAGCTTTTCCTTCTTTATAGCTGAGTAATTCTCCACTGCACAAAAGTGTCATGACTTTTCAACCTATCTGCAGCTGCTGGACAAGCTGTCCCTATTTTTCTCTGGTTTCCTGTCACATAAAGCATTGTTTTCTCATCTTTAATTTTTGGTTTATTAATCTTCTTTCAGGTTGAGTACATTTCCTATTCAGAGCATCTTGATGGACCCTATCTCCTGATCTACCCTGTCTGTGTTTTTTTGTTAGTGTGTCAAGGTCATCTATATTAGAGGTTATAGCCAACCTTCTCTGCCTCATCTCTGCTTTGCTATTTTTCTGCTATTGATTGTCTACTTTTCTCCTTCATTCCACTATCTGCCCCATTCATGGAGGCTTCTCTGCCACTGTTGCTGGAATCCTGATATATTTTTTTCTCTCTTCAGAATGTCCTTCAGTGTTTTTTGTAGGGTTGGATTAATGGTCACGAACTCCCACAATTCCTCTTTGTCATGGAAACATCTTGTTTCTCCATTAATTTTGAGAGACAATTTTGAAGGGTACATCAATCTGGGTTGGAGGTTATTTTCTTTCAGGGCTTGGAATACTTCCCTCCAAGCTCTTCTTGATTGGATAGTTTGTGTTGAGAAGTCTGTCATGATTTTGATGGGTTTTCCTTTATAGGGGTGATCTGTTTCTTTTCTTTGACTGCTTTTAATATTCTGTTCTTGTGATAAATTTCTGGGATCTTGATTATTATATGTCTGGGTGTAGATCTGTTTTGCTTGTAGTTGGCTGGAGTTCTGTATGCCTCATTTATCTAGATATCATTCCCTTTTCCTATGCTTTGGAAGTTTTCCTTATTTCTGTTAATAGCCTTTGTAATTCATTTAGTGTTTATTCCTGCTTCTTCACTCACATTTTTTATTCTTAAGTTATAGATACTTTTGTTGTCTTCCAGCCTTTGTATTGTTACTGCCTGGTTCCTTGTTACTTTTAGGAGATCTTTTCTTTCATGATCGTATATTGCAAATCAATCTTCATGTTTTGAAAGTCTAACTTTAGTTTCTATCAAGGAATTTTGCCAGCTTTCAATGGAGTTTTTAATTTCCTGGTAATCTCTTTGGATCTGTTTCATGTATTCTAGATTTTATTTATAGTCTTCATCAAAGGTTTATCTTCTTTTTCTGGGTTCTTCCATTCTTCCATCTGTGTCTTCTTGAGAGGGGCTTAGCATTTCTTTTATTAGTCTTTTTATATCTTGCCTCACTTGGATTAGAATTTCACTTTTAAGTTCGTCTATGAGGACACAAAGGTATTTTTTTTTATGTCCGCTGATGCTTTGGCCAATATTGCATGATTGCA